TAGTAATCCATAGAATATAAGTAATCCATAGTATTTGAACAAAATATAAATAATATTTTTAAAAATTCCAAGTTTTGTGTGCTATACCGAGGTATTCATTATAGCAAACAATTGATTTGCGATCCATAAATATAGAGAATATGCTAACCATAAGGTCGGGCGACACTCTCTATGCAGACGTAAAACTTTCGGCAGTCAGTGGGGTGGGCGTGTCGGGTGTAGTGGCCGGGCTGGTCGGTCTCAGTCGGGTCTGCCATTCATCGTCATTCAAATAGGGGTTAACAAAGAGTGTCATATATATGCTTTTGAGGGTAAATATAATGAAATGATTGCATACCCGGACATACAAAACCATCGCTAATTTCTATATAAGGAATAAATATATAAATTTAATGAATTAATAAGAAAAAAAAGTTTGTGTCTTATTATATGAAATGTTTACTCAATTTTTACTCTTTTTTGGGCATAAAATATCTCTTACAGTATGTCATGTCATATATATATTTTGAAGATTTTTGTTTCTCTGACAGACATTCTTCTAAATGCTAATTAAATTTGTGAAACATTTCAAAAGCAAATCCTATAATTAAGTAAACGATTGGCTCATGAGTTCTCATTAGCTATTCATATGTAATATGAGTTCCCAATCAATAAAAATCATTACACTATTGATTGAACAGAAAACTACTGTATATACTATACTCTAGTTTTTTTGGCAAAAATATTACTAAAATTCTAGTTTTAACTATTCTGGAGGCAAAGTAAAAGTTATGTGGATGTAAGCCAACAGTGCAATTCATACAGCGCCGGGAGAGAAGTATGCAATGGAAATAAAAACTACTTTTTAAAAAAATCTAAAACTTTAAAACTTTGCTTCTCGTGAGAGGTTATCAAATAACTATCGCTTCGCCTAAAAGCAAATTAAAACGATATATTAAATCAAATTATAATTCAAACACCAATTTCTCTGGTAGTGGTTTGGCTTGAAATTTGTAAACCATTTAATGGTTTTACGCGAAACACTCAATAAATAAGAAAAGTTTGTCCGACAAAAAAATACACCAATTTTTTGGTCGCATTTTTAATGCACTAATTTTTGTATCTCTTATTTTGTTAGTTATTATTATTCACTACTCGTCTCGTAATCCACATAATTGTGTATAAAAATCAAAAATCTAGTCAATAAAGACTTCCGCAAAGACTACAGTGGTGTCGGCGCCGCACATACCTGACGAGTCGCACCGGTCGACGTGGTCGGCCCACACGCACACGCGCTGGTCGGCGTCGTAGGCCAGGCCGGGCGGGCACTCGTACTTCGAGGCCTCGCCGTTCCAACACGAGTAGAACACCCGGCAGTTGGACGGGTCGCTGAAGATGCCGTACAGTCGCGGACAATGGGGTGTACTTATGGGTGGCTCTGCGTTTGGGGACAAGAAGTTGTGACCGTTTTTTGGGATTAGTTTATTTGTCAAGTGTTTTGCGATTTGTTTAATTAGTGTGCGATTCGGTGACTATTAATAATCAATACGTTTGTGATATAAATAGGTATCGAAACCAAACATTAGTTCGTTAGCTATTAGCTGTTGATTGCCTTATGAGACAAACTTCGCTGATATTTAGATAAATGGCTTCAAATGAACTCTAAAATCGAGGTTTCGTTTTGTGTCTGATTTTTCTTCGTTGATGTGTTTTGTAGTGAACGCATGAATGCATTGAACATAGAGTTTAAGTATTTGTATTCAATAACTTAAGCAATCAATTAGAATATCTATAAAAACATGATTATATGTCATCGAAAAACAACATTACATTTCGTGTTATTTAGCGATGAGTTGCGAAAAATTGTTTTCGTCTTATCGCTGACTGGGAATAGAAGTCAAAGACAATTGTGTTTTTAAATAAATAACAAAATTAACTGTAAATCCAAAAACTCATTCACGCAATACGAGTGCTGCTAATCGTATGACACAGTTATTCAATGCTATACTACTGAACATCACTTTTTTATCGGCGTTTTTAGCGAGTTTTTATTCTCGTAATGGCAATCAAATGGCACACAATTATAAAGCACAGACATAAGGGACTGGTAGGACAGGGGGTACATACCTAAGTCGGATCGATCGCCGCAGTCCACTGAGAAAGGATAGGCACAGTTCTCGCGCTTGGCGTCCGAGTCGTCAAACACTAATCCATTGCCGCAAGTCTTCAAAGTACCGGTGCCTGCGTTTGGGCGGTGTATGCGCGTGTCGGGGGAGACAATGAGTTAATTAGCTATGTTTTGCGGCGCAAATCAATGGTACGAACCGTTATCACAGGCCCAGTATTTGTCGCAACTCTTGACGTGAGGGTAGAAACCGAAATCTTGGGGACAATTAAAACTGCCGGTGTATTGGGCGGCCGGTCGGCTGGGCTGTGACTGTGAGGGCTGTGGCTGGGCCTGGGGTGCCGGCGGCTGATAGCCCTGGTTCTGGTTGGGACTGAACGAGAATTGCGGCGATTGGCGCTGCGACCAGACTGTTCCCATACGGGTGCGTAAATATATTGTTAATGGTTTTTGTATACTAAGTATATGATTGTAATTAATTTCATTACAGACAAACTAATTATTGGGTGTAATTGCTGTGTTTTTGACTAATTAATATTCAATAAATTATTTCGCATTCAATATTTAGTTATAAGATTTGGATCTATGCCTCAAAACCCTGATAATTATATGTAATTAAAATGTTTTTCAAATAATATTAAGTGAGTATCTGATTAATTATATAATTTAATGTAGTTTTTGTTCATAAAAATGTTTGGAAATAATATGCATATTAGTATTATTTAGCTCTAAATGTCAACAATTCGTAGAAATTTGAATTCAATTGAGTTCGTAATGTTTGTTTGAGGAAATTTGTCTCATATTTTCAGTTTGTGTTTAATGTAGACATGCGATCAAAATCGAAAGTCGAGAATAATTTACACATTAATACATTTTATTAACTATTATTCTATCGTCTCATGAATTTTAATGTCAACATTGCATTCAATATATGACTTTCAAATATAAGTCAACTATCGCTGTATACTACTCTCAATAATTTTCTTTAATTCTTGTATAACTCAATAGAGAATAATATTATTATCTCTAAAATGAGAGGAGAGAGAGAGAGAGAGAGAGAGAGAGAGAAGCAATTAGATTACATATTAGCTGTTGATCTCATATACACTTTGAACTGACCTCAAGACCCATAAAACTCATGCAAAAACTTATTGAATGAATGATAAAAACCACGAGATTTATCATATAAAAGCTGTTTTTCTTAATTCGATGCAAACATTAAATGAATTAATTTGATATAAAAAAGTTTCTGAAACAACATTAGCTGCAAATGTATGTTAAGAATAAGTAACGGTGCGCTTGAAACCATTGGGTTTATCATGTATTCGCATTGTACTATCGGTTTCAGTTTAATTAATATATAAGTATTATAGAACTATATGATAGACTGCAAATCGGACCTCAAAAATGATTTAATATTAATAAAATTGATGCTAATTTTGTATCAGTTTTTAGTGATGACCCGATTTCAAAGCCTGGTTTGGGTCGTCAACCTATGAACTAATAACTTAGTGCTCAAGCATTTGCTCCGAAAATATTGAAAACATGTAATTAATGTTTGAGAAAATGTAGGGATTATATAAAATATTAATATTATTACAAACTAAACCGATTAAATAAATGCTAATACCTGGAGAGAATGGACTCATAAATACGAGATTATTAGACATTAGAAACGCATATATTTTTTGCGACAATTTATTCATAAATAGGAAAAAGTATTTCATTGGGAAATATGTGATACGAAGTTCAAGATCTTTGGTTATCATTGAGAATAAAGTTGGCAAAAGTTTTTTGTTGCAAACGAGTTAAGATTTTTCATGATACATTTATTTAATCAACTTTTTAAATAGTTAATATTAAAATTATTTTATTAATTTAATATCTCATACCTTGTAGTATAAACAGCGTGGAGATGATTAGCCGGAAATGTGTATTTAAAGCACTCATTATGTGATTATTATTTGTAAAAAACTATTATATAATAAAATAATTATAATATAAATCACACACAAAAACCTAAACGAAATGCACAGCTTTTGGCTCTTCACTAATATATTAAATATAATTAATAACTTGAAGTCTCACTCAAATATATGTCTCTCTTTCTCTCTCGTTCTCTCTCTACTCAACAAATGAGTTGTGAATTAATCCCAGAGCTGTCGGCCGGTCGTCGAGAGTCACAATTGCTTTTTAATAGCACTTAACGCGTAAATGGCATTAAATCCGAAACTGTCTCACAGAGTATTACCGCTCTCTCTCTCTCTCTCTCTCTCTCTCTCTCTCGCAACGTATTGCCCCTGACCTGAAAACTGGTCCAAAGCCAGCCAACCAGCGCTCGCATACCACTTCTTAGACACAGTACCCAATGCTACACACCATTCCTCCCATACGATCACTGGTTGTCTATGAGATCCATACAAGTGATTGCAATTAACGCATAAGACATCGCAAACCTATTCAACATTTTTTATTTTATTTGTTTCGGCGATAAATCGCTTGCTATACACGACTACTACTCATCCCAACAGTAGTTTATGACAAATCGATTCAATCGTTAACTTATATCTAATCGATAGACATATGATTGCACTAATAGTTCTGATAATAATTGCATAACTGGTAGAGAGATATAATGCAGACAATAACTTATCCGACAACTAAATTGGCATTTATGTTGCCATCAATTGCTTAAATATGACAAAAAACAAGCGAAATATAAACTCCAGAATTGTCTCCTAAATTGTCTCAATAGACCCCCAGCGGGTGGACACATATTTTTGCTAATATTTCGATTACCAGGGACTGAGTAGTTTTGAGAGTTTATAAAACAATTTGTTATGTAATACACGGTATGGAGTAGCGATGGTTAGAGATTATAGGAGAGTATTATTTATTTGATTATAACGAAAATCTCATAAAAGCTTTTTTAGTGTTGAAAATCATCATTTTCGACCTAATTTGCGGGCTTATAATCTATTTAGTGTACGTCCTTGACATTCACCGCTAACCTATTTAGCGGTGGACCAAACAATCGCAGTAAAGGCTCCGAAACAAAAAACTTATCGCAAAAAAAATTATTTTTCGTTTTTCTAATGTAATTATTATTTTTATTTTTTAATTAAATATCCATTCGTACGGTTTGTGTGTTGTATTGAATTGGCTGTTAATGCGCTCAATAAGCACTTAATCCAGATAAGAGTGGCGTGAGATTGAAAAATAAGAGATTTAAAAAACAATTGTGAGATTTTTGAGCTCAAAATTCTGTGGCGTTTGTATTTTGGCACTTAATTTGTCTCATTATAGCTAATACACGGCAACACATAATGTGTGCTCAAAATTATAATTCATTTTTTCAGATAATATATTAGTCTTATATTCTGAGTCACTATTACTTATTTTTCGCCCAAAATTTCTCTCTTTTTGGGCTATTTTTTGTAATAAAAAACTTTTATTTTTGTTTCGCGTTTCCTATAAACTCCTATTATTGCCATAAAAACTGTGAATTCAATTGTAATGAGAAAAAGAGACTATTTGTTATAAAAAAAGACAAATTGTTTTGTTATTACGGTTTTTGGGGAATAAAGTGAAGGCGAAAAAGCGTGAAATTTATTTCTCTTTTTGTGTACGATTTGTGTGCAAAAAGTCGTCAAACTCTTCGTATTAAACACAATAAGAAACACAATTTTTTTGGTTAAGAAGTTTTTGGTTGAACACAAAACTGACACTACTTTTAAGCCCGAGAGTTGAGGGCTTTTTCGGGCGCTATTAGTGTAACGCCTGTTGCCATCGATAAGAATGAATGAATGGTGTGTTTGTGATCGCCTTTCGACGATATCACACATACCATACCTTTTCGTAATTAAAATACAAACTTAAAACCTATTTTAGTGTTAAGAGAAACACATATACTATGTGTGAGTGAGTGTTGAGGGCTAACGACCTAATAATCGAGAGAAAAGTTTTGAGAAATAATTTTATATAACTTTTTTTTCTTATAAAATACGTTTAAGTGTTTATAATAAGTTTTTGTATTATACTGTAGCTCTCTCTCTCTCTCTCTCTCTCTCTCTCTCCAGATTTTATGCGACAAATAGTTGTGTCGATTATATATTATTAGCTTTCAATTGAGTACAGAATTTAATCCCAGAAATCATATAAGTTTTTTGAGGTTTGACATCAATTTTCGCAGTCAATCAGTATTTCAATATTTTTAGTTATTATTAAATTTTATTTCCGTTTCGTTAGCGAAATAAATTTCATTTCAAAGTAAACGATAAGAAATATTTGAAATTTCAGTTTAAAAAGTGATATTTGATTGAAAGAGAAATACGAAACAAAATAAAAAACTTGAGACTAAATATAAATACTGTTAAATATAGTGCGAGAAACCGATCATTTTATGCAAATTTCACTTTTTTCCAAATGAATTCGTGTCTTAAACACTAAAACACAACTCAAATGCTTTAAAAAGCGACACATTTTTCGTTAATGAGTTCGTTATCTCTCGTTATGTACAGCGCTATTGCATTCAATACGAAATTCTTGGCTCAAAAAGTTTGTGCAAAACTTATTTTTCGTACGATTTCTACATACGAATGGAGAAAATATTTAAATTAAAAACTGCAAAATGTATTGATACGAGAAAATTAATGAATTATTGATAAGCATCGAGTCCTAATTGGCGTTTACAGGCATTAGCAATGGGAAAGGTATTGAATTAATAGCGAGAGCGTAGGCATTGATAGGGACATAGGCTTGGAGTAACAAAAAAGCCATTAGTGCTGACAAATCGAGTCTCAGATTAATTTAAGAGTGAATTCACTGTTCACTGTATCGGTTCCGGTGACACCCGTATGTGTTTTTGTGCAGCAAATGTATGTTTTATCAAATTTATATGACAGTACATTTGCTAATATACAGTTATATAGCCGTTAGGTGTAATCAGTGATCACCCAAAATATAACCCAATTTTTTTAAGTGTATTACAACTCATTAGTTGTCGTATTAATTGTAATGTAATGTTGAGAAAGAGAACTGATTTTATTGGTGAAAGACTTGCTTTAAAAAGTTTTTAATTAATTTCATATATTTTAATATTGTTTTTATTTCAATGGAAAAGTTCTATTAGAAATTCATTTATACAGTATATATACCGTAGTATTATAACTAGTTTCTAGTCTCTGATCAATAAATCAATTAAAAAGTTATAAACAACGAGAGAGCGAGAGAGAGAGAGAGAGAGAGAGAGAGCGAGAGAGAGAGAGCCTTCGAATAGGTTTATTAAAATTATTCTTAAAATAAAATAAACAATTAATTCACAACTCAATCATAAAATTCTTTGAAATAATGTTTTTGACTTAATTTCCACTTTTAAATGCATTCATAAGAAACAGATTTTTCGTTGATTCGCTGAAAACAGAAGTAATAATAAACAACAAAAAATAAAGAGACAAATAAAGTGAGCGTTTTTTGGCGAACAGACAAAAAGGTTTGTAATTTATTCACAAATTCTTAAACCCAAGCCTTTGTGCACTTAAAGCACACACCAAATATGAAAGTAATACACATTTGTGTTGCGGTTTTAAATTTAAAATTCAGGGAATAAATGATGGGCTGATCGCTAAAAATCTGTTATGAATATAATCAGACAAAAATAAAATCTCATTAATTTTACATTTAATAAGTCTCTCTCTCTCTCTCTCGTAAGGTGTATACCATTTCCTTATAGTGGTGTTCACTATAAGCTTCGCTTTAAATCATTGATTATTTGTTCGGCTTTTTCTAAAGTCTCATCTTTTTTGAGAAAACAAAACCTAAAAACAAAACGCAAATAGATTTAAACATTTAATTAAATTCACAATATTTGCCAGCAATAAATCAAATAGTATACCTGATCAGATTCTCGGCCAAATGCTTGTGTTGTTTCGAGTAGAAAGCACTGGTAGGTATTCCCTGAAGTTTCTGAAAGAGCAACCAAACATTCCATAAGCGACTCAAATTAGACCACAAAAAACAATACTGTATTTAAAACCCATTTCTAAACACTATATGCGAAGCAAAAAGCATTTGTATAATAGTGTCAACTCTTAACATACTTTCGTCTTTGAGAGCCATTTGGCGAACTTATAGTCTTTAGTACCGGTTTCGGACGATAGGTCTAGTTTGTCGGCCAGTTGTGCGAAGTCGGCGATCATGAAATACCCGCCCTCTGGGACCGTGGGGTTCATGGCCACCGACGCCAAGAATGAGGCCATTCGGTCGCGCTTTGGTTCCAACATTTCCGGCAATTCCTTCCAATACGAGTCCTCTGCGCCCAACCTCTCGATCTCCGTCTCGAGCCCAACGGCCACCGCCTCTTGCAGTGGTGTCGCACACGTGTAGACCGTGTTTTGATGCAATAGCCGTAACGGGTGTATCAGGTTCTCGGGTCCTATAAGGCACCGGTTTGTTCACAATCAAAATATTCATAATAATCAAATTTAGTATATTGCAAGTGCACTGACCGTACGCCCAGCCTAATTTCCAACCGGTCACATTGAATGTCTTGCCCACACTGCCTAAACGCACCGGTAGTTATTTTGGATTAATTTTTTGCATTTAATGCACAAAAGTCTAATCAAATAAAACAGATATAAACCTATAGTTATGGTTCGGTCCCACATATCAGGGAACGAGGCTATGGATGCAAACAACAAAATATAATTAAATCACATCAAAGTACCAATTGATAGGAATGGTGGGTCAATGTGTTACCCATTCTGATGTGTTCCCCTCCCTTATAGTACACCCATTCGTACACCTCATCCATGAGTGCAATCGTATCGTATTTTTTACACAAATCGGCGATCATTTTAAGCTCTTCGCGGGAAAACAACTGTCGATATAAACGCCAATAGTTTAAGAGACTGTATGTCCACTCATTGGTCACAAACACCATCTATTTATACACACCTTTCCTAACGGATTGTTGGGTGTGTTGACGACAATCAATTTGGTTTTGGGGCTGAACTTAGACGCCAGTTCCTCCGGGTCTAACACCCAGTCCTTACTAGTGAGGGGTCGGCCGGACACCGGTTGGGGTCTGAGCGGCACAAAGACGGGTATTCCGCCGGCCATAACAGTCATGGGTTCGTAACAGTCATAGAAGGGCTCAATGATAATGACTTCGTCGCCCGGGTTCACGAGACCCATGAAGGCACAGAACAGGGCCTCATAGGCGCCGACAGTCACCAGCACCTCCTTCTGGGCATTAATCTCACGGCCGACCAGCTTTGAGTACAGTTTGCTTAAGGCGTTCACGAGTCTCAGGTGTCCCTAAATCGGTGGCCAGTAATGATAGTCAATGTATAGGACAGGTATTTAGGCGCTGGATATATATGCTAGTGATCTACAGGGAGTGCTATTGTCTATTGAATGCGAGTGTAATGTCTTACGAATCCGCGGGTGTATTGGTTGAGGAGGAC